GGTGTCACTGAACTCATTAGCAAACTCAACGTTGCCCCAGGGGATGCTTCTGTGGTGCCGGAAATCCCTCCAGGCCAGCCTTCTACTCCTTGCTTCTTTTGGGATGGCCGATTCCGCCGCGTTCCGGCTGACTTCAAGCTCTGTGAGTGCTCCGTTGAAAAGCTGTGGGTGCTGTGGCAATGTGGTAACACCAGCAAAAACATACCACCTCCTCCGAGTGTTGGACGGCCGTGACATGCCGACCCGGAATCTGCAAAAGCGTCTTAGCGACGTACGCTACCTGATGAGTATAGTTGAGGATAGAGCAAAGCGTACCGGAGTATACGGCGTTCACCAAACCGTCGAGGATGCTGTGAAGACGTTTAGTGCATGCGCTGACAGCGTTGACGTACCCCCTCGCACCAGCACGGCCAGGAAGCGGCGAAGAGGCCAGCTCAGCTGGACGACTGTAGTAGCACTGAATCGGAAAAGCCGCAAGTGCAGCAGCGACAGCTAACTCAAATTTTTAGTTTTCTTTTTCTTGTCTTTTGATTGGCTATTCTACATTCATTGTCAAAGTCCTACCAATGTCCTATAAAATCCGTCTAACAATCAATTATGTATTCGAGCTTATAAATCCGAGTCTTAACAAATGCAATCTAACTGTAAATATGACATTAGATCATCTAAACAAGGGTGTTCATCCAACCGATACCTGCACAAAACAAACTCGATTAGACGTTCGGATTGCCTGTCACAAGGATACATGTACTTGCGACCAGCCAAGTGTAATCCGTGCCAGTGAGCCCACCCAACCCGACGATTCGAATGCCATTCGATTCGAGGTTGAAAGCTCATTCCAGTTTTCTCCTTGTGCTGTGCAATACCACCATGACCTTTGCTCGGAACCACATACCCATGGTCTCTTCCCTGGCTCTGACTGCCTTCGCTGTTGCCTCTGCTTTCACTGCCAGCACTGTGCAGCTGGGCGATCCGCAACAAATTGACGCGCGGTTTGCGACGAGAAACGTCGAAGCTGTCTTCGTCGGCAACGAAGATCTTCAAAATGGCAGGTTTGGTGCGTACTCGGCCAACCAAATTGTCGACCGTGTGCGTACGTACCTGTGTAGGTAACACGCCAGTCGGCTCAGTGCAACGCATCAATGAATAATTGAGTGCCCCCAGGCCGTGGACACTTGCAAACGTGTGCAACAACATCGGAGTCACCATCTACCCGTTCTTCACTCAGGGCTCACAGCCTTCTATCGAGAAGCTCCAGGCGCAATGGGACCAAATGGTATCCCAATTCGGCTCAGGAAAGCTCCACCTCGCCGGGACTGCTTTCCCGTCCGCCGGTGAATCTTACGCTGGAAATGTCCCTTCGATCGGTGCCATGACACCGTACTGAGAATGCGCCCTTGTCAAGAGTCTTGCATGTTTTGACATGGAATAACCACGAACGAGGGCTACAGTATACCAAAAGTAAAGAAAAAGGTGGGACACCATCAGACGTAGTATTTGTACTACATTTGTATTTTTTTTTCCTTGTGAGAACGGATGATCATGTTCAGATCATGGCATGTTAATGTGCTGCGACTTGTCCGTTCCGAAGAGACCCCAGTGTTTCTCGTACTCCGCACCCGTGTAGCTCACCGTCGTGTCGTACATCATGAACCAGTACGACTGACTCTTGCTGGGGCACCATCCATAGATGTAGTCGTAGAAGAACTGCGTCATAGCACCCTTGGACGGAACGTTGCCTGCATAGCTTTCACCGGCGTAGGGCCATCCCGTTTCAGTGAGGCGGACCTTGGCGGCACCGAACTTCGATATCATTTGGTCCCACTGAGCCTCCAGCTTCTTCAGTGCCGATTGCGAGCCCGGCGTGAAGAACGGGTGAATGTTGACACCAATGACATCGCAGGCGTTAGCCAACGCCCATGCACTGTCAGCACCAAGCCACTCGTTGATGCGCTGAGCTGATCCCACAGGCGTGTTGCCCACGCAGCTCTTCACACGACGGATGTAGCCTGCGATCTGGTCGGCCGTGTACGTGCCAAAGTTCCCGTTCTTAAGATCTTCGTTACCAACGTAAACAGCTTCAACAGCCCACGAGTTCTTAGCGTAGCCGTCGCACACTGCCTGGATCTCAGAGTCAATCCATCGAGGGTCTGTGAGCTGCACACCAACGGCAATGTGAAGACCGGCAGCTGCTGCGATGCTGATGGCGTTCACACCGTTGAATTGTGCTTGGTATGTGCGGATACTGGAGAAGTGCTGGGACACCTGTGCCATATCGCCGGCGAGTACGTCCCAGTTGACATTCGAGTGATGCCAGGGGGCGTAGCAAACACCAGAGGAGAGTTTTCTGGCATCGGCACCTACGGCGAGGGTGGAGGCAACAGCAAAGACAGCCAAATTCTGTAAGGCGACCATTGTATGAGCGTCGACTTGGGGGCTCAAAGCGAATTCGGGAATGACGACTGGACTCTGGTGCTCGATCCCGGTGGCCAGCGATCGAGCGAAAGATCGGTCCTCAGGATGTGCTTTACAACAGTCGTGGGTTGTAAGATGTTGTCGACAAACTCTACGATCCACGACATGTCCAAGTTGGACGGTAGACCCAAATGTATCTCGTTTATTAATGCTATGTGGTTCAAATGGCAGAGCATTGCCGCGTTGATTCCAGCGGTTCAACATAAAATATTTAGTGTAGATCGTCAATAGAGACACCGAAAGCAGACACCACGAACGACAACCAAGCGAAATGCCGTACGAGGTCATGGGTACAGTACAATGATCTACAACTTCAGATTTTTCATGAACTTTCACAACACGCTGATGGGATAGGCCGTCCTAGCATTGTCACTGGCAGTTTGCCAGTGAAAAACGACCCCACCTCATACAGATCTGACTTAGGCATCGTGATGGATTCTAATGCGGTAGCACGCCAGAAAACAATGGTACGATGCCCCCACAGGAGCCCGTGGAAGCTCGGATCTGTACGAGTAAACTGGTACTTAGTAAGCATTTGTCTTGAGAAATTGTTTACTTGCAGCACAGTTACTGTAGTTGACCAAAGTTCGATCATTCAAAGTACCTTATTCTACATGTACTAAATCTCCACCGTATACTTTTCTCATGCTCGAAAAAGTTTACATGCTCAAGCAACTTAGATTGTATGTTGCTCTTACCATAAGTTGTCCTAACGCAACTTGAACGACAGATAGAGAAACCATGACCGAAGCTGCATCCTCGAGCCCCGAGACTCTACTCAAGCAGCGCGTGTGGGCCGGCCGCCTCCCCGTCGTGTTCTCTCTCGATCCCAATGAGGTCACCACTCTACACGCTCCTCGTCCGTTCTACGTGAGTCCATGAACTCCAAAACTTCATGCCTCCTACCTAATCTAACTCAACCCGTCTGGTTCCAGGCCATGGTGCCTCGTATGAGCTACTTGGTGTCCCAGACGCGCGATGTGGTCGAGTATTTCCGGGACGCAGCGCCTCCCATGTCTGCGATACAAGGCGCATCCATCTGGTTCGAGGCTAAGGGCGTCCCGCTGCACTGGCATCTGCCCTTCGGCCTGCTTAGGGACCTTTTGTGCGGCCCTGGAGTTGACAGCGACACTGATCTACCGTGGGCAATTACAGTGCATTTCCTGAATTTCCCGAAGGACATTCTACTGCCTTGTGATAACGAGCAGAGCGTTGAGTCGCACTTCATGCACAGTCTCAAGCAGGCCACATTCCTGCGCATGGGGTCTACGAAGGCAGTGATGGCATTACCTGAAGCTCAGCAGACTCAGATTTGGACCAGTATATCGCAAAGTACGTCGAGGAAATGACTGAAATCAAGCGTGATAAGGGACTGATGAACGTGGTTGTTTGACAGATGACTACGAGAGCTATCGGCAAGCTACACATGAGCTGCATTTGGACGGAGGCGTGGACGCCTCGGCGTTGCGGCATCTGCCGCTGCGAGTGCATCTTGACAACGCACCCGCGATTCAGATGCCAGTCGCTCCGCTGCAAAATGGTACGGTAGGGTTGCTAGTGATTTAACGTTGGGAATTCGCCTTATTGGTTGTCGCACTGGCGTGCAGGTCGCGAGAAAACCTTGCTGGAAGTTCTAAGTTATCTGTTGCCGGACTTGTTTTCATCCGCAACATTTGACGCTGCACCTGAAACAGACGCACAGGACTTCCAGATTTTAGTGCACGGCATTCCCGTCCCTGCCGACGTGTCTATCGTCGAGCTGTACAGGAACTTCGCTTACGCCGACGGCTTCCTCTACGTAGCCCTGTCGTCCAAGTCCTCCTAGAGCGTAATGTTGCCGATTGATTTCGAGAAAGTTGAGTGTCGACATATTTGTTTTTGCAGTTTTCAATATTCTATTGCCCAGTTTTATTAAAGAATCCACAGTCTGGATAATCTCCCATTCTCAGAAAAGAACACTTTTTGCTTTAATGCAGGGAGGAACTCCCCATGACACGGCGGCTCGCCTGGCGTCCAACGTAGAGCCTCTACTGGCCGAAACGCGCGCGCATCTGCTGCACAAGGAGCCTGACCGCGCGCGTGCGAGTTTCCTGCGTCTGCCGGAGCTGGAATCACGTCGTAAAGCGTATCTGGAGGCGACACTACGCGACTTCTACGCCGCCGGATTGTTCGACGTCCCCGTGCTACTTACGTTCCTGGAGGCGCTTCCAAGCTGGCATTGGACACTAGACGGGTGTGCTGTGCTGCATAACGTGAGCTCCGCATTGCGAGCGCCCAGCAGCGGCGCCGGTGGAGGTGGCAATGCTCTCAGAGCGCTCGAAGCGCGTCAACGCAAGTTCCCACAGTTGCCATTAGCGTTTTTCCTGCTGAAACTCATGAGTCACTTGGAAGGAAGTGCTCGTGTGCGTGCCGAGAGCTACTGGTACGCGTGGGTGAGTCCTACACTGCGCGCAGTAGCCAGTGGACAGCCACTAGAGCTCAAGATCTTGTCCAGAACAGGCCGCAGCGAGTACAGACAGGGAGATGCAAGTAAAGAAGAGTTACTGTATGCACCTGGCAATGCTGGAACGTTCGATAATGACCGTCGTAACGCTCTGTGTTGGGTTGGAGAGGGCAACGACAATGAGATGGCTACATGGCCGAATGACAAAGATCGCACCAAGGCGCAGTGGAGACTCATCCCGTCCGATGTGCATACAGACACCTTTCTGCTCCAAAGTGTCAAATTCGAGGAGTATTTGTACGCTGCAGACTACGCCAAGTTCAAGAAAGACGCTCGAGGCAAAGCGAGGAGTCGAGTGTTCACGTGGCGGAAACAAGCGGAATCTCCTGGACCTGCGGGCAAGTGGCAGTTGGTGTCGTTGAGTGTGGAAGAGAGAGACGTGTTTGCGCTGTACAATCCCTACCAGCGAGAGTTTTTGTACTCCCCGACGGCCGATCTACTGGACAGTAAGAGACGCCACGTATTGACTCGAGCAGCGCCCGATGGAGCGCGTGAGGCGTCCACTACAGAGGGAGGAGCCATGTGGTGTGCGTGGCGGATCTCCCCGGCTCAGCAGTCGTCCATGGAGCGCGGCGTGGAGGCCTTTTTCGCCAAGAAATACCCCGTCGCAGTCGAGCAATTGACGCAGGCACTGCAGGATTTGCCAGATAACACGCAACACGTGAAGTGCTTTGCTTACCGGATGACTGCGAACCTGCGTCTGCGTCGATTCGACCTGGTAGCGCCGGATTTCCAGGCCATTCAGGAGCTTGGAGGCGATAAGGCTGCGATTTTTCACGGCCTCGCGCATCTGTGGGAGGAGAACGCCAGTTATCTCGCTGCGATGGCCAATTCGTCTCCAGATCTTCAGATCCAGGCCATCGAGATCTCGACGTCGCCTGAGAACCCCTTCTTCATGCGTCATCAACTCTCCAAGGGCGACGACTATTTCGTTCGTCGAGATTTCCAAGCGGCTATTGTGTGTTACCAAGAAGCGGCTACATGTACGCCCACTACGACGTCGTCATCAGCTGAGAACAGTATGGAAGACCCCGAGACAACGCGGCAACGTGTTCGCGCGTACGTGTCGTGTGCCAAGTGTTTCTTCGCGTTGGATGAGAGTGAGAATGCGTGGCAATACTTGAGTATAGCACATGATATCACTGGCGTGTCAGTGGAGGGGGAGGCGGCCATTTTACTCTGGAAAGGCAAGTGTCGACGAGCTCAGAAAGCTTACGACGAATCGCTGGAACTACTCGAAAAAGCGTTTGATCGAGCGAGTGCAGCGTCGGCAGCTTCGGTGGGGTTATCGTCGTCCGCAGCGGGTGCTCCGATGTCTGCTGCGGTGCTGAAGCGGTCTATTCTGATGGAAATGAAGGTTGTGGGGCTCTTACGACAAGGAGTGTATGATACGTTACTGTCTACAGATGAGAATGGGGTCACAACTAATGGGAATGGAGTGAAAGAAGACAGAGAAATGGGTACTAGCGGAGACGCAGAGAAAACGTTAACGCAAATGATGGAAATGTTCCACTGCCCACTGAGTCTGGAGCTGATGGACGACCCTGTTACTACACCCGACGGCAACACGTACGAGCGCTCGATGATCGAGCAACATCTCGAAGTGAACGGCTGCTTCGACCCTTTGACGCGAGCGCCGCTGACCAAGTCGCAACTCCATCCGAACCGAGCATTGAAACAACTCATGGAGACGCTGCTTAGTGATCATCGACTGGGACTGCTGCTCGCATCGTGTTCGACGTAGAAATTTCTTTAACAAATAGTGATCCAGCAACTACGCATTTTCATTCTTTGCGTAATCAACGAAAGTTGGAAATTACTCTCAATTATCACATTGTTCTTGCATATTAATCGGACATTTTGTTGAAACAAATACATTTGCAGTTAACACTTCAACATTTCGAGCATTTGCGAATCAAATATTGGCCACGTGGTTATTACACTGGAAAATTTGGCAATCATATTTGTCATTGCCAATGTGGCGTTTGATATCTCATGTTGGTGCCTCATGTAGATCGAATTGCGAGCATTGGATTCTCTAGTCGCCTGGAGCAGCGTGTGTCTACCAGCGAAATGCCCCGAGGAGCTTCGCCTGGTAATCACCTCGCTCGATCGTCGAGGCACACGCGGCAACAAATCCATTCCCGAATGCTGTTACAGACGGGGGCGAGAGGTTCTTCCAGCAAAGCTGACCTCTGTCTCATGCCAATACAGGCCGAACGTCGGACGTGTGGCTAAACCGTTTGCATCAACGCTCTGCCGTCCAACCATCCATGCTTATTTTTCCAAGGGCGCGCTTGCGTGGATGTTCCACAAGACAAGCGACTGCAACAATTGCAACTGCCGCAAAGGTCCAACTAATTGAGTCCTAATGCACAGCCGGGGCAAGAGATCCCTTTTATTCTGCTGTAATGACTCATTTTGTGCATGGGATATCAGTTGACGAGTTATACGAATTGTTTTCTTGAAGGGCTTTGATAAGTCGTCTGACTGGACGGTTTACAAGTGGCTTGCGAGTTGCTTCAAATACATTCGTATCTTACCATGAGCCAGCTCGTCAGCAGCAATAATCCTGCATAATAGTATCGCAGACTGTGCGGCAGAGGGAGGTATTTAAATGGTCTACCTTGAAGAGCGATAAATAGGCTCTCGGTTCTCACTATTATTTAAGATTCGCTAAAACCTTGGGCTAGAAGGGTTAATACGAAGCAAACTAACACGGTAGCGACTAAAGTGGGTTATAGAGGTAGTGAAGGCCTAGGAATTCCGTTCAAAACGAAAAGAACGGCAAACGCAGTCCGATGATCACGTTTACTTTTACGATTCTCTTTACCAACATGTTTAACCATGTAGTTCTCGCTATTATTGATACAACTACAAACTGTGTTTACACCGAGCTGCGTTCCGTTGCGTCTATTACATTCAATTTAGCAAGTATGCAGGATATATCATGTAAACATGCTCAGCCTACCTTTCGGCACAAATTGAAGTACTACTAAATCTCACGATTTAGTGGCAACGAGCATCCCAACATACTTTGTCGCAGTCCAGAATGTTTCTTTTTGTTGTTAAGTAGACGGTCTAAGCTCACACACTCAACAAAAGCTGCTTACCAAAGCATTCACGAATGTAGATCGAACTCATTTTTCCGCAAAATACCCATTTATTTAGGTCTGATTTTCGCTAAAACCTACCCCTTACTAACGTCGCATCTCATCTCTCTTTATATCAATAAAACCAACAATCAACATTTTATATATTGCAAGACATTTCGCTACAAATACCTCTGTCATTCCTGCTATTTCAACTCATGCTATCACTTATCTCAGGGTCATCAAAATGGCTATTTTCGCAGGTATCCAATCAGTTCATTCACGCTTCTTCTTCGTGGCACAGAGGTCCCTCCCAGATGAAGTTGCCAGCCCCCTTAACCTCCGCCACGGTGGTGTGTCGCTCGCACCTGGACATCGCAGCGCTGCCTCACATCGCAGAGACCATCAGCGCGTTCCTCGATTGCTCCGTGCACTGGTCGCTTCCCGCGGCGTGCGGCTTTGCCTTCCAGGACGGCGCTCTCCGACTCGTGAAACGCGTTACAGTGCACCAAACGATCCGCGAGGCGAAAGCACAGGAAATTCTGCATCAGTACCCGAAATTTCGCGCTTTCGAACCCAAAATTCAGAGAACTGAGGCGACCTTGGTACTCCGCCAGAAACAAGATCCTTTCTACCGTCAAAAGCTCTTCACGCTCGGCATGGCACGCGCTGCTGCACGTGGAGACCTGAGCGTGATGCAGTGGCTCGTACGGGAGTTCCCCGGTTGCTACGTGACACGTGCAGTGGAGCAAGCGGCCAAAAATGGTCATTTACAGGTCCTACAATGGCTACATAGGAACAGCCGAGTGGGTCATATACGAGACGAAGGGGGCGGGAGAAACAACACAAGCCTCGACGTGTTCTGGGGCGCTAAGGAGCTGTATTACGCTGGGTTAAATGGCCATCTGAGGGTGGTGCAATGGCTACAGGAGCATACGAACCCAACTCCGACGCATATGTTCTTCGTGACGCTCGAGGAAGCAGCCAAGAACGGAGATCTGGCCATGGTCAAGTGGCTCTGCAACGTCAGAGGAGAATGGTCGCCCTATGCGGCGGTATTGGCGGCCAGCGGCGGGCATTTGGAGGTCCTGAAGTGGCTGAAAAGTAACATTTTCAGTTCCTCGCCCTCTGCAAACATGGATGATGCAGCGGCGAATGGACATTTGCATGTGCTAAAATGGCTACAAGTGAACTCTGGGTACACTACTCATGCAGCCATGAATAAAGCAGCAGGGAATGGACACTTGGGAATCGTCAAGTGGCTTCAAAACACTCGACGAGAAGGATGCACCTCTGTAGCCATGGACCGAGCTGCTGCTAATGGCTACTTTGAAATTGTCAAATGGCTACATACGAATCGGGAGGAAGGGTGTACCAAGGCGGCGATGGATGAGGCAGCAACGCATGGGCATCTTAAACTTGTACAATGGTTGCAGACTAATCGTAAGGAAGGGTGTACGACCAGGGCAATGGACGGCGCTGCCATGAACGGTCACTTGGAAGTGGTGAAATGGCTACATCAACACCGTAAAGAAGGCTGTACGACAGCAGCGATGGATGGCGCAGCGCGAGCGAACCATCTAAAGGTCGTCGAATGGCTACAGAAGAACCGTAAAGAGGGCTGTACACTCGCGGCCATGAACCTTGCAGCTCGAAACGGCCACTTGGACGTTGTGACATGGCTACATCGTCATCGTACAGAAGGATGTACAAAGGATGCGATGGATCAAGCTGCAGCTCACGGTCATTTACACGTCGTACAATGGCTACACAAGAACCGTAACGAAGGTTGCACGTTCAACGCAATGGACCGCGCTGCGGGTGCAGGACATCTCGATGTTGTGAAATGGCTACATGAGAACAGAACTGAAGGTTGCACGAAGGCCGCGATGGACAACGCAGCATCAAGAGGCCAATTGAAGGTGGTGCAATGGCTACATGCCAACCGAAGTGAAGGTTGCACTGGCGTTGCAATGGACGGAGCCGCGTCCAGTGGACACTTTGATGTTCTGTTATTTTTGCAAAGTGAGCGATCTGAGGGCTGCACGGCCAAAGCGTTTGTGAATGCAACGACTGCTGACGAGCTGGAGATTTTGCAATGGCTGTTTGAGCATTACCGCGAACAGTTTGGACATGATCGTCTGCAGCTTTTTGCTGTGGGTAAATTCTATACGCTCCAGTGGCTCAAGCACGAGTCGATTCTCGAAGATCTACCTGAGAGCGAGCGCCACTTTGAGTAACTGTGTCTAATTGGTATGGACAAGTAAGAAGCTATTTATTTGTTAGGGAAGGTTTTCAAATGACACAATTATCAACACGAAAGCAAACATTTGCACGTTACGTGTGGTACTGTACATGTTGTAGTGTATATTGACGCATTCAAACACCTGTGAGTTGGTTTTACAAGAACGATTTGTTCATAAGAGTGATACATGTAGTACCGTAATCATCTGAAGTTGTACAAACTCAACATCACCATACGTTGCAGTGGCTGTACAGTGCAATTTCCAATACTAGACTTTTGCAGAAATTCCGATCGAGTAGCATTGTGTTCGCTAAATCGTTTCCGAGTAATTTTTGCGTTTCATTCTTCAGACTTTTATAATTGCTGAAAATTGTTTTTTTTTTCAGTCTAAAAAGATTCAAGTTTGTGTTCAAATCTGACTTTGAACACGGGATTTCAGCTTTACCCAATCCCCAGCCACACGATGGACGGCTCGAAAAAAATTCGCACATCGAAATGGGCAATCGTTTCAGGACGCATGTAGGCTGAAAGTCCAGTCTTAAATTCACTTCAGCGACTCGATTCCTCTAGCGTTTCCATATCACGGCATTTTCACTGCACCATGGGAACTTCCCCATCTATTGAACCCCTATTTGCTCCGAGTTGCGAGATTCACCGGCTAAGACTAAAATACTGTTAGACTCAGCGCCGGCAGACTGCCAGTCTACAGGTACGAGAGCATCCTAGGCTGATCACTGAACGCCATCTCCCGCTTGAGCTTACATCCAGACGTCAGATCTACGGAGGATTGCTTATCCGCAGGATCCCGAAATATTCGACGCCTGTCTCTAGAAAACGCAAAATTTGGGGAATTCAAATCGGGAATGGCAAAACTGAAGCCATGTCCATCAACAATGTCCTCCAGCTCACCGTCGTGTTCGAATGCTGCCGACTGTTTCGCGATACAATGAGTCATGGGCAAGTTGGCTTCTAACAAGGCAGAAAGGCAGCCGAAGTCGGGCATTAAATGGCGGACCATTCCTTTAATTCTATTTGCGATGCATGTGGGTAACTGCATGAATCGCCTAGCTTTCGTTTCTCTAACCACTATTCATCTAACCATCGCTTATACCCGCGATCGAAACACTACTTCTTTTATTATCTATCCAGCTCAGTTGCTCGCAGCTATCGCATCTAGCGTCTGCCTTGAGCATTACCTTCCGCCTTTGCTTTCTGTTTCAGCCACCTCAGAGTGTAGAACTTGTCGAAAGCATACAACTGAAGCGGGTCTCGTCCGAACTGCTTGTTGTAGTGCTCAAACAGCCACTGCAAGATCGTGAGCTCATCCGCTGTCGTCGCGTTCACGAATGCCTTCGACGTACAACCCTCTGACCTCTCGTTCTGTAGAAACAACAACACCTCAAAGTGACCACCTCCTGCTGCTCCATCCATCGCTGCACTCGTACATCCTTCACTTCGGTTGGCATGTAGCCATTGTACTACCTTCAATTGGCCTCTTGATGCTGCGTTGTCCATCGCGGCCTTCGTGCAACCTTCAGTTCTGTTCTCATGTAGCCATTTCACAACATCGAGATGTCCTGCACCCGCAGCGCGGTCCATTGCGTTGAACGTGCATCCTTCGTTACGGTTCTTGTGTAGCCATTGTACGACGTGTAAATGACCGTGAGCTGCAGCTTGGTCCATCGCTTCCTTTGTACATCCTTCTGTACGATGACGATGTAGCCGTGTCACAACGTCCAAGTGGCCGTTTCGAGCTGCAAGGTTCATGGCTTCCAGCGTACAGCCCTCTTTACGGTTCTTCTGTAGCCATTCGACGACCTTTAGATGGTTCACCCGCGCTGCTCCGTCCATTGCTGCTGTCGTACAGCCTTCCTTCCGATGTTGATGTAGCCATTGCACGACTGACAGGTAGCCATTCGAAGCAGCACCGTCCATTGCCCTGGTCGTACACCCCTCCTTTCGACTCTGATGAAGTAACTGTACTACCGAGAGGTAGCCATTTGTCGCAGCTTCATCAATTGCAGCCTTCGTACATCCTTCTCGACGAACACCATGTAGCCATTGAACGATTTCAAGACGTCCATTGGCAGCAGCGAGGTCCATCGCTGCGGTCGTACACCCTTCTTTCCGGTTTTGATGTAGCCATTTCACAACTGCAAAGTGTCCATTTCCTGCTGCCTTGTTCATCGCGGCTGTAGTAGCATAACCAGAGTTCGTTTGCATCCATTTGAGAACCTCGAGGTGGCCATTTGCGGCTGCATCGTCCATCGACGCCGACGGTGTGGGGTTAAACACATTGCCTCTAAGCCATTTCAACACACCCAAATGCCCTTCACTAGCTGCGAGAACCGAAGCGTACGAGGATTGCTCGCCACGCACTTCACAGAGCCACTTAACCATGGCCAGATCGCCATTTTTCGCTGCTTCTTCCAGTGTCACGAAGAACATATGCGTCGGAGTAGGGTTCGTGTGCTCTTGTAGCCATTCCACTACGTGCAAATGACCATTCTGACCGGCGTAGAAGAGCTCTCTTGACCCCCAGAAAACGTCAAGTTGGATTCCCCCTCCTGGATCGCGAAGATTTCCATCAAGACTCGGTCTATGGAGCCATTTCAGCACCTCCAAATGACCATTTTTTGCGGCTTCTTCGACCGCGAACGTCACGTAGCAACCTGGAAACTGACGGACAAGCCACTTTATCACTCGCAAGTCGCCTCTTGCAGCCGCTTTTGCCATCGCAAGCGTGAATTTTCGCTGTCGGAAAAACGAATCGTCTCGTTTTCGAAGAATTAAAGCCGCATTTTCGTTGTGAGGAACAATCGATTTGCCTTTTGAGGTGTTTTTCGCGTTGCTCTCTTTCGCGACAATCGATTCAGCATTCTCAGCTTCAACCGCATCATGAATCATCACTCGCTGTGCTAAACGGAGCGCTCCATTCTGAAAATCAAAGCCACAGGCATCTGGAAGGGACCAACAGACAGAGTGGTCCAGAAATTCGCTAATAGTGTCCAGAACGCGAGGGAGGGCGACCACTCGACAGTTGGTGTTGCAAACAACGGTGACGGACGTCACCGGGTCCGGGGGATGCACCATCGGGACCCAAAATCAGCTGAGGGGGCGAGAAGAAATCAACAGATAGCGTTATGTTGAGTCTGAGTTCTTTTTTGCAAATGACACGGTTGGACGGCTTGACAGGCTCGGTGAGGAGAGGTGGAAAACGGATCAAGATTTGAGACCTCCGAGAAGCAAAGGAGGTTGGTAGACAGCACCAGTTTAGATGAAAAAGGACAAACTTGACCCGTATGGCACGTCAACAAGCAGCGAAAACAACTGGAAATGTGAGAAATTCACTTTATCGTTTGAAAATATTGACTTTATTGAACAAGGAGTTTTATCAAACAAGCAATTTGTTTTGTATTTGTCGATATGTACTTGAAAAGTTTGACTCATTCCCACTGCTATTACCAACGTCCCACACCCCTTTAGATACGCTTGATCCTTGCGGCGATCGAACTGCTAGTCATAGTAGGGACACCAAATTTTGGCAAAACCGCATTGTTTCCTGCTACAATCTCGCTCTCTCCGCTAGAAATTTGTAGCTCCGCTAGTCCATTTTGAGATTCACCGTTAAGTGCCCTCAGCAATTGTTAGCAGTGGAGATACATCCACGGCGGAGCTATATATCACTACAAACGTAACGCAAGGGAGCAACCACCGCGTCCAACAAAAAAGTAGTTGTGAGGACAGTAACTGTATTTTTCTGAAAAACAGCATTATTGGTGAAAATCGGAAATAACAGCTGTAGTGCGTAAAACAAAAATTTCATCCAGAGCCGTAGCGATATACAGATTGGCAGGCCGCACGACACAATCATACATTTTTCGTACAGTGTATCGGTGTTGGAACGTGCTCGTTCTGCTTGGACTGCAAGCATCGTCGTTTCTTTCGACTCGTTGTTGATGTTACTGTCGCCTTCATCACATAGCCGTCACAGTGGAGCCGGCTCGGATGCTGCGACCTTACTACTGGTTATTTTCTTAATGTTGCTGAAACAATAGAATAAAGTAGAACTGTAAAATCACTCGAAGCTTCAAACACCTTCTTGAAAATTTGATGACTCGGTGTTCGAAGTTCGTCATTCCACATTTACCTAAACCTGAGCGCCCTCAGGTCGGAAAACAACTCAACAAATCCTTCTTCCCACT